GACTGGATGGATTCTAGGCCAGCATGGGTGCAAGTTATTACTGAGCTCATTTCATTAGAATACATTTCCAGCTCTCTGATGTCCTAAATACTTTATCTGGAGAGCGCAATCCAGGGAAGTAAACCTGCTAGAACTCATGCAAGTATATATATATATATAATCTTCCCCCTACCAGAAGGATGAGGCCAATAAATCACTGCCATCCTCCAAAAACATATCATATTTGATGCTGCATGTTTGGAAATTTAAAATGCAATCACATGCCATGTGGGGCCACAAAAGAAGGCAAGATTTAAAAAACAAAAAAAAAACACCATGAAAATACCAATATATTAGAGTTTATGGAAATCCTGTCACACCACTGTGGAAAGGTTCAACTCGTGGATTTTTAGTCAGGCCAGAATGTATTTTTGGGCTCATCTCATGCATGTTTGGCTGAGTTAGAGCTTCTCGTTTTAATGTTAGAGAGTCAGGATGTTACACACATCTGAAAGATTTTTATCATTTCGTCGGGTAAAAATAAAAGTGAGCCGTGCATGTGATATTTTTTCCTCTGCTGTAGTGATTTCCATCAAAGCATGCATGGAGCTGCCACGTGTTACTGGAAAGCCTGTTCGTGTACCGCGCAAGATTAGAAATAGACAGGAAGCCCGTGAGGAAAAGCCGAGCTCTGAAAGTTACTGTGTTTTGTGAAGCCTCATTTCCACTGTGGGAAGATGTCTGTTTTGTACAGGTGTAGACTTTGTAGGAAATCAGGAGAAACACGTTTCAACATGAAACGTTCACAAATGAACTGTTCACAAATGCTCTGGAAGATTACCGTCTGTTTTTTTTTTCCAGGGTCTCTTTTTTAATTGGTTTTAGGCCCCAACAAGGCCAAAATGAATAGACAGGAAGCTTTAGTATTCAGCATTTGGATATGCAACTCCTCTGGAGACATTTTTTTTTTAAATTCATGGCTAAATTGCACATATTAGAGCTTCTATTGCAATGACTCACTTCAAAATAAATTTTAAAAAACAACACGCTGTATCAAATTTAAGCCACAAACACATTTCCTTTGGATTGATTTTTCTTTGTCTGGAGCTTTTTCAGTCACACGCTGCCGCACCTGTTTGAGCGTGAGCTCTCCATCCTTGTTGCTGTTCGGCTTGATGTAGAAAATTTTGCTGTGGTCACTTGGAATGTTAAAAATGGGCTGTTTGTTCTCAGGCCTGTCCCTGTCATCCACAATTAGAGTGAGGAATTTCTTGTTGAGCTCGTGGTCCTCAGGAACCTCCACCTCATACGTACCTGTGGGTAAAACAGAACCATCCCGTATGAGGCCACATGTTTAAAACGGCTACGACAAAAATATTGACGTGCAGTTAGCTTGTATGTGTGGAATAAATATGCAATAGATGAACACTGTTTCTTATGTGACAGGGTGAACCAGGAAGTAGGAAGTTGGGGGGCGGAGCATAGCTTTTAAAAGCCAGAGGAGGACAAATCTGGGCCTTTCACTCCATATGGGTGCAGAGGGCAACTGGCAGCCATCATACTTGAGCTGTAAGCCAAATCTGTGTTCGGTGCACAGACAAAAAGGTAAATGTATAAACTACGTTTGTCATAAAAGCAGTGTGGCAAATAGTGACCATATCCTTTTACGTCCAAGTAATAGTTACAGTCATCAGTCCTACTTGAGGAAAAGTCCTATCACCTGCTGGCCTCTACAACTAGGAGAGTTCTTTTTTGGGATGCTAACAAAGGAAACTTGCTTAAGATAGTGATTTGAATAATAGAATGATCGTCATATTGATTGTGGAATGTTTGTGTCTTTAAGCGATGATCTGGATGCTACTGAGCCGCCACCCGCTGTTTTTTCCCTTTTTTGTTAAGGTTTAGGCTGTGCATTAATTGTTTGGGCCTGTATAGGATTTTTGGACCGTGTCAAATTGAATTGACCTGGGGCACCTTTGCATGTTTTGTTTGGTTTTTATTTGGGCTTTGTTTGGCCATGCCATTTTGATTTTATTCGTTTCCTAAGTTGCATATTTATTATTATTTACACTACTCCAGGTCAGTCAAGTATACGCTTGTCCTGTTTTGAGTGCAGCCCATCGATTAACTGTATTTTTAAGATTTCAGAACAACGAATAATGACGATTTTATATTTTTGTTAATAAACATTGTACTACTAATTAAGTCTCTTTATATTCTATTTTACACTTGGTCACACTTACTTCTGCTGAAGGAGGCTAAGTTGTCGTTGGCGTCGCTGATGGTGATGGTCACCGAGGTGGTGGCTGGGCATCCGGTGGATTTTCCTCCCATGTCCAAGACTTTTACGACCACCACATACTGGCTCATTTTTTCCCGATCCAGAGAGTTTATGTTGGCGCTGATCGCACCTGCGGGGCGACAGGGAGGCCGTCATCTTTAGCTCCGACTCGCAGCCCGGACGTTTTACGCCCTTTCCCGATTCGTTTGAGGAACAGCCCCGCTTGGCGGTTTACCTGTGGCGCCGTCGATTCTGAAGGCCGAAGTCCCCCTTCCTGGGACCAGCGAGTACAGGAGGTCCGCGTTGCTCGTGGTGGGATCATCAGCATCAGTCGCCGTCACCGTAACCACTTCTGTTCCTACAGGAGAAGGATTATTGTGTACAATAGCTTTGCTTCTTTCACAGAGATCAGGTTCTGTATCGACCACATTTGGCTTGTTACTGCTACACGATTAGGTCTTCAACTTTTGTTTGTATTTACACCTTTACTTACAATGCATATAACTTTGTTTCTCTACATTTGCAACTGCTGGAGGATATTTATTCTCTTTGAAGACACCGCGTCCTCAAACTTTGTTCAAATATATCTCGATGTCATTGAGGTGAAAGAATAGAAGTCCTTCGACGGTGAGCTGGCATACCTATTTCGGACCTTTCCATAATGGATTCGTTGTACGATTTGGGGAAAACGGGACAGTTGTCGTTGATGTCCGTCACCTGGACGACGAATTCTCCGGCATTTTCAACCAGCTTTTTGTTCCCGTCGTACATTTTCGCAGTCAAATGGTAAGAGGCCTTCTTCTCTCTGTCCAGAGGTTTGGTGACAAACAGGTCTCCTTTTCCATTCACTGTGAAGATGGAGTTGGCGCCTTCTCCTTCGATTTCAAAGCTCCTATGTGGGACTACTTGACTGGACTTAAGCTGTGCAAGACAAAGAAATCAGCATTGATTTACATCCTGGATCAACAGCCTCGCAGCACATTTCTCAGAATAAACAGTTTAGTGATCTCTATCCCTGATGTCATTTTGCTTCAAACTAAACAGATGTGGCAAAATGCCTTTTTAGCATCTTTTAAGACACCGATTGCAAGTAGACTAGTCTTTAAATTTAACCAATTCGACCCAATAAGCAATAACCTACGACCGAACGGTCACCTACTTGTCCTATCTTGAAAGGGAGCGACTTATTTTTCTCCTCTTCCACGAAAAGACTGTTCCAGATCCATTCTCTCTTCTGTCTGTGCAAAAGTGGATGGGACTCTTTCTCCACGATGTCGAGCAAGCCCTGCTCCGCTTCCACCTCTGGAAGTCCGGTGGCCAGAAAAACGGGCATTGCCAGCATGGTCAAAAGTCCGGTCATCCCCACCTGGAGACACGCCATCATCTGAGACAAAACGAGGGGGGGGGGGGGGGGGGGATGAGAGGAAGAGATGAGCAAAACAATGAGGCGAGTGGCGGGGAAAGGAGGGAGGAGTTGAAAGAACAAAATTGACGGAAAGGAAATGAGAGAGGGAGCAGAAAGGAAGAGTGGAGCTCACATTAAAACCACTTATCAGCTATGGACAGACTCCTTCACTGGGCCTGGGCGAGAATTAGAGTGAAGGCCAAGGACTCAGTGTCCCCATACAGTCCGCCGCTAAGCCCGAGGTCTAGCTATCATTTAGGACCAGAGCTCTTAAACCTTTGCGGCCTGGGACCCAAATGAAACATTTAGCCTCTCATCGTGGGACCTGTTCTGAAAGCGTATCACTGCCACGGTCATATGGGGATCCATTAAACATAGGCATGTGACCCATTTTAGGTCTTGACCCATCGGCGCGGAGAGAGTGGGAGATTGACGGAGACTCGGAGAGAAGATGCCATTTAAAACCACTTCAGATGTCTGTTTTTATCAGTCATTAGAAAGGCTATTTCCAAAGAGGCACATTCTGACATTTTGGATTCGCGACTAATAAAGCACAACAAATTAAGGACAAAGAGTTGGGGTATAAATAACACAGAGAGGGCTTTCCAGTGGTTCTTGATTTGAAGGATGGGTCAATTTGGTGCATCGTTTAATGCGCTCCGACATGAACTGGCCGTGCTTTGAAAATGTAGCTCTATACGTTGTGACACAGAGCAGCATCATCTGGCGGTGCACTTCACTGGCCCAAAAAAAGAAGCATCACGCATGCCATAAAAAGGATCTGGGAATCCATCAACTGTAAATGAACGCTCCCCGGGGCAAGAGGCATTGTTGTCAGCAGATAATCAAAAAACAGGAATCCATATTAACATGTCCTGTTTAGCGCATCACCCAAAGAAACATCAATATCTGCATAAAAAAGCCCCTCAGTGCGTGGTGTGATGTGTAAAAAAATGAGAGATTAAAGTGTAAAGACAGCAGCACTGAATGTCTAACTGGTGCGTGCAGCCTAAATTATTACTGCAACGGGATGAAGACAGAACAAAAAGCCATAAACGAGTGCGTCAACACCAATCAGAGGGAAAATAGATGGAAAATAGGAACCAGAAAGCTTCTGTAATGTAGCTGTGGAGCTTGAGGACTCGCATGTTATGTAATGAAAGCAATACACGTACTCATTTCCTGTATTTGTACTCTGTGGATAATTCACTTCTAAATATCATATACGTATATAAACATATATAAATACGTGTGTCTGTATACATCCAGGAACACTTGCGACTAAGCTTGTATCTACCTTTGAGAGCTCTCAGTGTCAAATTATTTAAAAGATGTAAGTTTCCCGTTCCCTCTGTGGTGTTTTACATCATGTACTATTGATGGATTTCTTACTCTCAACATGCACAGCCTTGGCTTGGGCAGTCTCCCTTGTCTGTCCCGTGCCATGGGAAAAATTTGCATTATGCTGTGGTATCACTTGGACTAAAACCAAACTGTTTGATGGATGGGTTTTTTTGACTGATTGGGGGTTGTTTCTGCGACTTGCATAACTTCTTTCTGCCTGCCAGACGTCGGGCATCTTTTAAACTAAATAAAACTGTACAAACGCCAGCATTGAGTGTAGCGGTTTTCCCTCCCGGTCTTCCTTTCCGTCTCACCCCATCGCTCGTGTCTCCCCCCCGCTGGACTCTATCTAATAAAGCAGAAATGCCAGGGAAATAATCTTCAAAACACTTTAGCCTGTGTGCACTGAACTCCGGCAGATATCTCAGCGCAGTCCTGTGCCATCCCAGGAGACAGATTAGTGCATCTTATTGTCTTCCAGCCATTAGCAGTAGGGAGGGAGAAAGAGAGATTATGATGAGGGGATTATACTGGCACAGTTCCCCTCTCTCTAATGGCCTAATCTCATATTTTGCTGACCTCCTCTGACCTCTTCACACAGCTCCCCAGAAAATCGCCGCGCACAAAGACTCAACTGTGTTTTTTGGCCTTTGCTTGACATCCTTTTGTTTTGTTTTGTTTCTCCCGATGTGCTCTCTTGTTTACTTTCCCTTTGAGGACTCAATTAATTAACCAGATGTGCGTGGGCATTGTCTCCAGCTGTTAACGTGAACTTTAAAAAAGGGGAAGTTGAAGCGGGAGCTGTTTTCTAAGATACCGACTGAAGGAGACGAAAGCAGAACGAGACCACCTGAATCAAAGCTAAAGACCCTGAGCTGGTTGAAGCTTAATCCCCCTAGCTGCCAACACACTCACACAGAGTTCCTCTGTTCTCAAAAAGAAATATTTTGTATCTCTCAGTCCCCTGGTTACTGAAAATTTCATGTTGAACTGAATTCTCTTAGATATTAGATGGTTGTAAACTGTTAGTTTAGCTTACTGTGTTACCACTATGTTGATGCTACTGGGATGCTTTTAATCTTCCATCCACAAACCATGGTCCTGCATCCACAAACGGAGGAGACGGCCGAGGCAGATGGCCGCCCACCCTGAGCCATGGTTCTGCTCGAGGTTTCTGCCTGTTAAAAGGAAGTTTTTCCTTTCCTGTGTCGCCCAGTGCTTGCTCATGGTGGGAATGGTTGGGTTTCCGTAATTAACTTCAGAGTAGAGTCTGACCTGCTCTGTTTGGAAAGCGCTGTGAGACAACTGTTGTTGTGATGTGGCGCTATATAAATAAAATTGAATTGAATTGAAAAGAAAGGGCAAATCCTGGTGTCCAGGCTTCAAGTAAGGACAATTAAAT